TCTTTTTGACATCCGGGCACCATCAGCTTTCTTCACCACATTTGCTTATTCACCTGCTTTGTCTTCAGTGGTTGTGTGCTTGATGGTTTTTGATGAAATATGAAAGCCAGTGTGCGAATTTGGCCAATTAGTGCCATCATTTTATTCCAGTGTTAGTAAAACAGTAACATAATAAGCCACTGCCTGCCCAATGCTATTATTGTGATCTACAGCACATGCATTGTGAAGCAGCAACGTCGAATGAGCTATTACAGTCCACAAATAAATGATGCTTGATGTTGTATGCAAAGAGGATAGACTAGAGTGGCGGAGGGGAACAAGGACAAGACTGGTCCAGAGAATGATACTCGGTCACCCTTAGGAAGTGGGAAGCTACAGTACCTGGTAAAGGAGTGAAGAGCATATTTTAAAAACAGTTGTCATCGAGTCACCGCTGACAACCCTGGCAACCCTGTGTGTGTCAGGACAACTGTGCCTGAAGCAATGGTGTAGAAGTCATATCTGACCTCATCTGGATGCATAGGGACAAAGGGACTTCAATGTCACACCAGCCCAAGGCTGATGTCTGGGAGGCAGAGATCCGGTATGCCTCCAACTTCTAACCTTCTTTATCTTGTTCTGATAATTACAGACACTCTACTTTTTTGTAGAGTTTGATCATACACTGCAATGACCATAGACAACTCACAGATGAGACTCACAATTTGTGGGGTGGGAGGGTGGGGGTTATTAGCGAAATTAGCAGATTACAAGGAGTCAGGATCAGAAAATAGTAAGCGTACAGATCTTTTGTCTACAGCCCCTCTTCTCAGCCATGCCAGCAGGCATATCTCCCCTCTGGTCCTCCGCCTCTCGGGGAGGTGGCCCCTGGGTCTCTGCTAGTCCCAGGGCAAGTGTCACGATGCTCTTTGGTGCTGATAAATGCCCAAAGGACAAATGCCTCATTCTACAAGTCAGGCTCCTGCCTGGAGGCACCCAGCTTCACCCCTTCCACGGGCCAGGAACCTGAAGCTCTGTCTCGTGGTCTCTGCTGCTGTCACCTGCTCCTCTCTAAGCTGGCATCACTACGTCTCTACTCCATGGCTCTTCTTTCTTGATGATCCGGGGGTTCCCTGTTCCTGCTTCTGAAACAACTCACGTTAAACTCAGCAGAATAGCAACCACGATCAAGCCTTGAGCTAGAGTCCTCTATACCTTATTTCCACGCTCTCACCCAGTCATTTCATGGGAGGCACGAAGACTATGGAGAGAAGAGCCGTATCAAGCAATTTCACTTCTCCACAGTGCCCCGTAGGCACACATTTATTTAGTTTTAACATAAAGTCATTGAACATTCAATGAAAAAATAAGGAAAATGTTCCACAAACTTTTTGAAGCCCCCTCCTAACTTTAAATCCTTGAGGGGTACAGCTCCACACAGACTCTGTCTCAGGGCCGTAGGAGGATGCTTGCTTCGGCATCTGGTAGGAGCCACGCCACGGTTCCCTTTCCCCGGACCCCTCCTCCTTTCTGCTAGCGCTCCCTGGGCTGTTTTGAGTTTTGTACACATGCACACATCCCTTGCCGAAACACACTTCATCTTCACCCTGAGCACAGACACCTTCAACATTAAGAAGAGTAACGTGTTCCTCTGGGTCTGAGACCACATTGATAGCCCACATCAATGGCCTTAGACCGCATCTTTCTAGACAGGTGTGGAAGTCCTGCTCCCAACAGGCCCCGCAGACTCCAGGATGGTAGAAAGAGGAACGCTCCTGAGGGGTTTCAAAGCTGGCTTTTTCAGAAGTTGAACACCAGGTCTTTTTTTTTTTTTCCCCCTGAGGTACCTCTGGGTCTTTAGGTGACAGCAGAGCTCATGAAACATGTGCAAGCACTCCACAGAACTTACACAGGAAGAGCCAGAGAAGTCATTGTGAACCACCCAT